GAATTTGGTAACTGGATACATGACACAAAAGAATGAATTGGGGCAGGGGCGGGAGAAGTAGATTATTGATTAGCCTGGTGACAAAGCTTTCCATTGTCGAACATTATGTAGCACCAGGAATCTGCTGCGTGCGGGATAAGAGCCATGTTACCCTCAGGATGGTGTGGGTCTATGACTTCCATAATCCCTGCTCTTGTTGGTTATGCTGCCTAGGGATGATGGAAGCGGTAGTCTGGAAGGCCACATTTTGCCCTGCTCTGGGATGAGGAATGTTTGTACATGGAACCATGTCTTTCCAGCCTGGCAACCTGTATGCAAGACAATGTTAAAAGAGCACAACATTCTTCTGCTTGATTTTGTCCGCTTTCATTCAGATTGTTTTCTGCACCCTCTCATGAGGACTCAGGCCTGACCTCAGAATGTGAAAAAGGAGAAGATTAAACATGGGTAAGATCTACTGCGGTCCCAGGGTGTGGTCTGAGAGCCTTATGATCCTGCAACCTTGATAAAATTCCCAGGAGAAATAGCCGCATTACGGCGCTGCAGCAGAAAACAAGAGTCTTATAGCATCTTGAAGACAAACTGGTTTCATTTAGCTTTCATGGATTGAATCTGACAGTGGCGGGCTGCAGTCCAAGGAAGTGTTTATGCCAAATAAAACTTCATCATCTTTAAGGTGCCACAAGATGCTGGATTGTTTGGGAGTTTTTTTTTTCCCCCAGCAGCAGTTTCAATGAAACTACAGAGGCATGTGTATGAATGAAAGGGGCGATCTCAGAATCGCATGGTGGGGAAGAAAAAGCAGAATTGAAAGTTAATAAATATGTACATAGATAGATAAATGTGTGTTGGACTTTGACTGCGAGGAAGATGTGAGTTCAAAGCCTTATTTAGTCATGATTGAAATTGGGTGGCTATCGTCAAGTCTCTTTCTTAGCTTATATTACCCAGCGCAGATAGAGGTACAAGTAGATGATTCTAGGCTCTGAAACGATCATCCCTGCAGGAGCATTCTCTTCACATGACTGTGTGTGGTTCATCACTTCAAATGTGCTAAGTGGGGAGCTGTGTAGGGAGCCCAAGGCAACTCCCTCAAGATCCCGCAATGGTGGTACCCTTGAAAGGACCCCACGGTGAGCTCTTTGGGGAACAGGGATCAGTGATAAAGACTTTGTCAGTGCTTCCTGAACTTGGGTCTCCAGATATTCTTGATCTTTAGCTCCCCACAGCTCTAGGTGGCATATCCAGCAATCAGGCCTTCTGAGAGTTGCAGTCTAACAACGACCAGGACTCCATGTTGGCATTTGTTGCTCTAAGACAGTGGTTCCCAAATTCAGGTCCCCACATGTTTCTGGACTGCAACTCCCAGAAGCCTTCATCACTAACTGTGCTGGCCAGGAATTCTGGGAGTTGCAGGCCAAGAACACCTGGGAAGCACTGCTCTAAGAGATAGCTGGTCTGAAAGACAGGTCTGCATTGTTAAGGAAATCTATTTGGCCAAATTTCATTTGAAACCCCCCCCCTCTCTCTCTCTGTGTGTGTGTGTGTGTGTGTGTGAGAGAGAGAGAGATATAATATATTCTCATGGGGTGTATATGTGTGAGAGGGAGGGAGGGATAGAGAGGGCTTATAGACCATAAGTCTACACTTCTTTTTCCCCTCTTTATTACAGAGTGCTGTTAATCTCCAAGAAGGGTGCTTCTATTGGTAAAATATAGTCTCTGGAGAAGTGGCCAGAGAACATAGTAAGCCCAAGAAGTTGGCTATTTCAATTCTCAGTCTGTGGAGAGATTTAGAGCTTGGGGGCACCGATCTAACACATTCAATCTCTACAGGGACGCTTACTGGCCCATTTGACAAATAGCAGGAAATCATAGTGCAGGAAGCACGCAATCAATGTGAATAAATCTTGCTCAACTTTCCTTGCTTTTCAGATATTGTTTTCTACACCCGGCTTAGCGCTAAAGTGCCATATCGCCATTGCTTTACATAACTATACACAGAATTAATATTCTTTCTCTTGTTAAATGACACAGTTTGATTTGCGTGGCTAGAGCAATGTGAGGGATACATCCTAGGAATACAGCACAGAGGCTACTATTGCTAGTCCTAACACAGATAGGCCCATTAGTTCAGAAGGATGTATGCAAGTGTTGACACATAATTTAGCAATTGATTCAGTGGATCTACCATAATTGGACTAACAATAAGATATTGGCCAGAGAGTATGATCCGGGCCAAGTCAAGCTGTGTTGTCCTATTGGTTCCTACGGCAAAGACATATCTATATGGCAGTAAGCCTCACAATGTAACTGTGAAGGGAGTGTGGACAAGGTTGTGACCGTTAAGCATGTGTTGATCTTTCTGACTGACATCACTGTGACTTAAAAGTCCTTAACTTGCCAGATTGGAGAGAGAGAGAGAGAGAGAGAGAGAGAGAGAGAGAGAGAGAAAGGAGACGTTGATGATTGTGACAATGAGTAATATATATATATAAACCCTCTCCTGTAACCACTTCCTTAACACAGTTATTGGAAGCCCAACCCAAGCCCTGAATAATTTTGGAAGATACAGATCATCATTATCATCTGGAAGGGACATTATGGATCACTGATTCCAGCCCCTTGGATTCCCGAGGCACAGTCGGGAATCAAACTTCCAGCTTTCGACTCCACAGCCAGATACCTAAACTACTGAGAACTACTGAGCTATTCAGAAGAGCCTTGTGGAGCAGTGGTTAAACTTCAACACTAAAGTGAAGAACTCTGCTCATGATCTGAGTTTGATCCTAGGCTGAGATAACTGGTTATAGGTTAACTCAACCTTCTATCCTTCTGAGGTTGATAAATTGAGTACCCAGCTGAAGGGTCTGTGTGTCCAGCCTGCATATAAATGCCACACTTTGCTTCTTTTTCCAGTAGGGCATTACCATTCTCCACATGATCTCTGTATTCACTGGGACTGCTTAGATGAACATAGCTGAAGTCAAATTTCAGTGTTCAGCCAAAACTCCCCGTTAACATATTTTATCTTTTGTTGAGAAGTAGCATAAGGGCCAGCTCCAGAATAATGGAACTTTAGCCCCCATCCATGCACCTGCTCATCCCAACGCCATGGTTTGAATTCACACTCTGTACACATACTTGGAAGAGAAGCAGATTGTTATTATTTTTTAAAGACTTGGACTTAAGGGAAATTAAATCCTGGACCTCCTCCTCATTGCCATCCTTACAGCTGACCTGGGATATAGATTAAGGTGACTGGCCCACAATCACCAAGTTTCATGGACAAGCTGGGGCTTTAGGATTACAGTATTTACTTGTTTATTTACTCCCCATTAAAAAAATTGCACTCATGGTAGCTTACAAATTTCATAGAAGAATAAATACAAATAAAACCGCATTTAGCTGGGGAAAAAAGCCAATCATAAAATGATATAGCCCAAACTCACCATAAAGCCATTAAAATGTAATAAAAGACATGTGATAAAAGTTAAAAACAACAGAGCAGGGCAGGTTAGATATTATGAGCCAGTCTAAAAAGATGTGTTTTTACTCCCTCCTTAAAATCAGTGACAGCGAGAGCAGACTGCAATATGGAAGGAAGGAATTCCATAACCTGAGAGCCAGACAAGAAAAGGCTCTCTTCTGTGTGTTCTGGAAGGCTCTCTTCTGTCTTCGTATATTTGGGGGGGGGGAGCACAATGTTCCACGAAAGCTTTTATTAAAATACAGCAGTTAGTCTTTAAGATGCCACAGTGTCTTTTTTTTTTTTGCTCTTGCTTTTCCTTTGTTTTGCATTTCTTGTTGAAATTCGGTGTGCCGCTCAGAGATCTCCTTACTCCATAGCCAACACTCTATAACCAATGTAACCACCCTGCTTTTGAGCTCCGGTGGGCTCCATTCCTAGACCTAAGTATGGCCGAAGTATGTAAGTGTGCTGGGCAGCTTCGTTCCAGGTTGGTGTGCCAAGGGAACACTTACACTTTTGAGACTCTTCCCCCATTGAATCCTAGGAGGCTTCCTTCCCTGTAAGCCTCTTTAGACACGCAGGGCACGACGGTCAACTCACCCATCCCACTTAACCGAGGAGTGAAGCTCACTTCGGAGGTCGTTAGCAAACCTTCCTGCTGGGTGCCCACCCTAGAGAAAAGACCGCGGACAAGGCAGAGAAGCGACATGGGGGTCAGCCGGACAGGGCATTCACATGGTTTGGTGACAGACACGTGTCTGCCTAGGGAGCAGCTGCCTGTCTCCTTCCGTTGTTTGCGCCCGGAACCCGTGGCTGTGGCCAGAGGCTCTTTGCGCCATACAGCGAGAAGGAGGGAGCGGGGATCATCCGGAGAGAGACCCCGATTCGTGCCAGGGAGAGGGAGGGCATCTCCATATGCCAAGTGGAAAAAAACACCTCCCGCTTAGGCGCGGCAACCCGTCCATGGGCGACGCGAGCCAGAGCAGTGCGCGGCAGGTGCCGGAGTTTTCGGAGCGGCCTCGAGTTTTCTCTCTGGCCCCCATGCCTTCGAAGACGGGAAGTCATGGTCCATGATCAGAAGGAGGGACGAGTCGGAAGACGAGAGGGCTCGACCCCCTTCGTAGAGCCCGATCCTGTTCAAAACCCGATCCTGTGCTGCGTTTCCTCGGCAAGGATCTGGACTTACTCCGACGTAAGTAAGCCCAGAAGCTGCCTGCACGCCCCGATCCGCTCCTCAATCCGTGCTGGACCTCCCCCCCCACCTTTCCCCATGATCAGAAGGAGGGACGAGTCGGAAGACGAGAGGGCTCGACCCCCTTCGTAGAGCCCGATCCTGTTCAAAACCCGATCCTGTGCTGCGTTTCCTCGGCAAGGATCTGGACTTACTCCGACGTAAGTAAGCCCAGAAGCTGCCTGCACGCCCCGATCCGCTCCTCAATCCGTGCTGGACCTCCCCCCCCACCTTTCCCCTGGC